GAGTACAATGGGAATCCCGGAAGTACGGTGGGAATCCCGGGAGTACGATGACAATCCAGAAAATCCCGGGAGTACGAAGTCCGCCGTTTCCCCCTAGGTGATAACTATGTTACAATCAATTACGGAAACATTGGTTCTCAGTGGGTAAGAGGGAATTTCGGGTCATTTTTAATGTCACATCGAACGATCGGGTTATTCGAATTCGTATTTCCATTATTTTTTGCGACTGTCATACATACTAATTCCATACAGCTCGATTAGTTTTCATCTACGTAATTCCAACTAGTTTCAATCAATTCTGAAAAGTATCGTTCTAGTCGTCGGAACTTACCAAAAAAAACGTACTGAAATCCGGTTGTAAAGCATTTAGTGAAATCGGTCGATTCTGGCCGAGTAAGAACGATCTGGGATGCAACTATGAACATGAGACCATTTCTCTACGACTCAGGAAAGTTAATCTTGTAATTTACTTCATTGTAGAAAGATTGTAGTCATTGAGGAAGTATTCATTTGTGAATCGTATCTATGAAAATTTTACCAAGAATTATCGCAAACAGTCTTTTCGTATTTGTCAAACTGGAAAGTATTATTTCAAGTTTCTACTTTTGATGTGAATACCATGTGAACATAAACGAATGAAATTGAGACTCGAAGGGTGATTTTTCAATCGAATACAATTTTCAAGTTTGATACTACTGCTCACTTCTTCTCCATCAAACTTATATGGAGTTACTCAGAATAGCTATGTGTTGTAAATCTTATTGATTTGAATCTTTAGTAATTGTTCGTGAATTCTTATAGCACTATGCATTTGACAAGGGTGTATGGGGAACTACGGCAGTCAATCTAGGAACCACTTATGATTATAGCTCGATTATGCATTATGGTGCAGATTACTTTTCAAGTAACGGTCGACCAACAATAGTACCTAAACAGGTCAATGCTCCAATTGGCAGTCGTGACAAGCTTAGCCCAACAGATATTGTTGAAGTTCGCAAATTCTATGGATGTGTTGCTTAATCATAAATATTTCTCATTCGATTATTTATTGTAATCGTTTTCGAAAAATAATTATCTTTTTAAATATTTACCTGATCTCGATCAAGTAAAACAAAAAATAAACTATCCTCACTCAATGCTCTAAGCTGATCGAAAAAAAGACTTTGAGCTACAAAATTCAATATGAAAGTTTCTATGATATTCTTATAGAAGAATTTGAAAACAAAGGAAAATTAGAAAGATTCCTGCCAAATACATATATTTGAAATAGGATGCCGAATGGTCTTTTTTCATTTTCTCATTACGTTGCTTCAGACTTAATGCTGTTACTGTTATTAAAGCAAAAAGTAATGAAACACTGATGGAATCCATTATTGAAAAGAGATAGTTACGTCGAAGCGATTTGCATCTTTCGGAGTGTTGTTATTCTAGTAACTGAAGCTCATGTTCATATGTTACATAAATATTATTCGTGGTTCAGTTCATAGTCAACTTTGATGTTTTTGAAAAGAATTGTTCAAGAGTTCACTAATATGATTCTGCTTAATCCATTTTGAAGTTTATTTTCAACTGATTTTATTTAATTCTGAATTGACATTAGATGTATTATATTGTGTGTAACTTGTTGTCTATTTTCTTTCTAGTTTGACAGTTATCTTATGTATTTTCTCTTGTAAGTTCCTAATGAAGATGAATATCTTCTAAAGAAATTTTTAGTTGGGGTTATAACACTGATTAGTTTAAAATATCCAACGACAAATTTTGACTATAGTGTAAAGAGAAAAATGGATCTCAGTAAATGAGCATCTTTCACACAATAAAGTTACGTTCTCAAGAAAACGAAAGATGGATAAAAGTTTTTTTTTTCTAATTTCAATTATACATAACTCCTCGTTAATACCGACTAATGCAAAATAATCTTATGAGATGAAAAAGTCTTCATTTCAAAATATAATGCAAGTGAAAATATGCTGAATAATACTAATAAGAAAAAGATCATCATAATATATTCATTCAATAGGTCGTTTCGTTCTTGAAAACCTAACAATCGACTATCTGATCATGTAGTCATCTCAAAGCGAGCCCCACCAAGTCATTTTAGTCATGCTGAATATCGTGATATTGTTCTTTTTTTAATATCATTTGAAATTACAAAAACTAATTTGCTACAGTGTTGTCGGATGGCTTTAACATAGTTAAATAGAGTTTAATTGTTATCGTTAATTGAGAATTAATTCACGACACTTTGTATTGCATTAGATATAAAATGTGCAATTTACCTGATCAGTCGATTCTTACATAAATTAATGCTCCGCCAATATTCGTTTGTTTTTATATGTAAGGAAAGTTAGCAGTCGATTCGAGTATTTTCCACAAGCATTCATCCGAGAGATTAAGCCACCTAGAATCCAATAAGCTCCATCTAACGATCTCATCAGACGCCCCGAAACTTCAACTCGATCGCTAAAAAAACCAAAACCATCCATGAGGCACATAAGGAAAAATTACGATTTTTCCTAAAAACCATGACGATTCGCCTGAGTATATAAGCCACTCGTGAATCATACATCAATAGATGCGAAATTTCATGCCCTATCTGATGGTACACAATTCATCTCGATAAAAGTCTCTTATAACCGACTCGATTCCCTGGAAACCTCAAAAACCAGAATTTCCAGAGTATTATTTGCGACGATTCGCCCAGAAGCTTAAGCTGCTATTGAAAACCACATCAATCGATGCCGAATCGCGAGCTCTATCGAATGATGTATAGCTTGCACGGCTAAACACAAACAAAATGGGACTTTGATCCGTAATAACTTTCGAAACATAGGAAAGTTTGGATTTTTGAGCAATACCTCTCATGACGATTCAGTTGAGAACGTCAGCTGGTGACGAATCACGCATCATTCGATGCTATGTTTCACGGCCTGTCAATATATGTACAGCTTGCAAGGCTTATCCCCCATCGAAAACCAGTTTGAACCTCGAAATGCTCGGAAACACTAGAAAGAAAAACGAAAATTGCCGTAATCAGTTCTCAAGGTGATTCGTTAGGAAACATAAGCCACCAATCAGTTATATACCAATCAATGTCAAATTACGAAACCCAGCAAATTGTGGGAGGCCTAGGGCTACAAAAATATTTTATGACTGGGTTAGTTGTATAAATTGCAAGGATTGTGTGCATGAAACGGTGAAGTTTATGAGGATCCGTCTGAAAAGTGTCACGACTGATATGTATGTTATGAATCAGTCTGGAATCCGTAGCTCTTTCAACTGGTGTGTGTATGATATTTTAGTAATGAAGTTTAGTCAAGGATGCCAGCGTATATTATTTTGTTTTATGAAACCTTTCTGTGGTCACTCCGTTAGGATAAGGTGTGAAAGAGGTAGTTTGCGCTTATTCGTCTAAGTAGGGTTAACGTAATTGAAGAAGCTTATTTTACCTGGGTATCAATGATTTTTTTAAAACGAGCGCATGAGTTTCTTTTGATCAAGGATGTGGACGTGGGTGTAGATGAAGATCAGACAGGTGCCCACACCCTTAGAAACTGTTTTTATGAGATTATTCGTGCCATAAATAGAATAAATCTTTTCTGGTGGTCAAATCGAAGCATGAAATTTACGCAAAAACCTTGTTTCAAACCGGTTTTCATGGAAAATGGACACGGTGAATTTTACGAAGTTGTTCAAATCAATTGCAATTTGCTGCACGAGGAAAACCTTTCTCTCCTTCCTAAGACTCGAACTTTGCTGCTTAATGTTGAGGAAAAACTATTTGCATTCAATCCCAAGTGTTTCGCTATCTTTGTTACCTAACGCGTCCCTATCTACAATGTTTAGTCGGTGTCGAAATAGCTTGTGTGCTGTGTTCTAAAAGTCGCAATGGGATGCTACTTGACTTGGAAAATAGATATACTGTCACGTGAGTACACACGGTAAAGTTTTACACATACTGTCATCAATATTTCACAGAAAATACTGACTATCTACAAGGTCTGGCAGAAGTCGTGAAGTTTCTACAAAAATCGGTAGACACAAAAGCGCCTGTCTAATAGAGTTCGGCGGTTCCCGGGTAGTAAAAATGAGAAAAAAGCGGGTCCGGTTCGATTCTCGAAAAGTTACCTAGAACTGGTTGGAACCGTTAAATTAACAAAAGTATACGAAAATTTTTTGAACAATTTGAGTTTTTTCATTCCTGACATTATAAAAACTAAATATTTATTGAAAAACTATGTTTTTCAACATATACAATAAAAAGTAAAACAATAAGGAAACTTTAAACAAAATAACATGTTTAACATGTACTTATGTAAATACTAGAGTTCAGCGGTTCCGAAATTTACCCGGAACCGTGGTTCCGGTTCGGTTTCGGTTTCATTTTTTTTTTGGAACTGCCGAACTCTAGCGCTATGTAACAATGATGCTAGTGACCTTCAAAAACGGTTCTCCTTCCGATTCCGGTTCCAAAAAATTTAAAAAAGGCGGTTCCGTTTCGGTTCTCGGTTCCAAGAAGCCAGTTCCGGCTCGGTTTCGGTTCCATGTTTTTTGGAACCGCCGAATTCTACTGTCTAACAAGTTTGGTGAATAGTTAGCGATGATAGCTTTTTGAAAAGAACCTGAAACAACAAGAAGAAAATCATATTGCCCTGAGCATTTTTTTATGCATTCTGACGGAAAAAAAGTGAAACCTTACTTTTTATGACCAAAAACAGAGTTAAGAGATGACATTTTTCAAGACTTTCAACCGGTGAAATAACGGTGTCTACTAGCATGATGGACTTTTCAATCGATTCTGTTCCAGCGTTGATATTGATATTTTACCCTAGATACATACTTTTTTTTTTCGTCAGGCATAGAACTCCCAATCAGAAGAGCTGTCATCAATTATAAGATGTCGGTGTAAGATGTCGGTATGAATCAGAGATGGAAACGGGACGGCAACCGTTTTTCTCAGGGCGAGGCGAAGCGAGGTTGGGAGAAGCTAGGACGGAGTGATACGGGGCAGGGAAAAATTACGGCGGACGAGGCGAGACGGGGTTAAGTTAAATCCCCGAACTTTCCTCATGATAGCTCCACAACATAAATATCGATATGTAGACTATGTATTTGAATAATGCATGCATAAAGACTTATGATAATAGTCTGTGTGTAATAGATTATCTACTCAACGCTTCGTACAAATATAAAAGTTTTCTGTTAAATATGAATAGTTTTTATTGAATCCTATTTTTATTGTGGAAGACGCATGATAAAGACTGCAACAGAGAAAAGCAGTGTCTACTGATAGACTGCTTTCGCAAATTAGACTTGACCCAAAAGTTTACTTCAGATGCTAAAACAGAATTTTATGTAAAATTTATTTATACATTCTTTTGTTCAATAAACATTTTCCATCTCTGCGTAACATCGAAACTGTTGCATACCATGAAAACATCAAATACTCAGCATTTCGCTAGTATTAAGAGTCGTTTTTATTTGTTAAATAACTTTCTATACGCTATTAAAACACACTAAGAAAAGAAGAGAAGTGTATTTATTTTATAGGCATCAAACCGAACTTTTGCGTAAAACTTTGCTACCTAAAAGCGACATATAAAGTATGGCTATAACTATTGGGCCGAGGATGTTTTTAAGATATTCTGCAGCTTTTCAATAAGAGACAATGAGAATGTTCAACGAGACATAACATTTGATGTACTAAAAATATCGCATGCCTTACGTGAAGAAAATTAAAACTTGAGGTCAATCTAATGTGGCAAAATTTGATTTTTTAACCTTCATGATTTTGTAGATGAACAGTTGGCGTTTTTCTAGTATTCAGTGACTTTGTTGTTTCGAAAAACAATCTAACAATGATTTAAAAGAATATTTCGTTCAAATCGACAGAAAATTCTCTATTTTTTAGCGTTGGCACAGAACCGTTTGGTTGAGTTTAAATTGACAAAAATAGTCTGTTGGAAACCAACAATATCTCTTGTTGCACCCTTAACTCTCGCTCATATGTTCATCTAAAA